TGGGTCAGCTTCCCGAGGCACGCCGGGGTGGATCTGGATTGGAAGCTTGGCTGGGGCAGCTCGCGTGCACACTCCCAGCTGCTGCACCCTTCTGGCTCCCAGTGTCTTGAACAGCAGGGGGATAATGAAGACTTTCTCCGCAGAAGCATGACAGCCTCAGACAGATTCTGTAGAACAATCATCTTGGCAGCTGTGAGGAAGGGGCGAGACTAGAGATCAGGAGAGCAGTTCTTTCCCAAGTCTCTTCTTCTCAGATGGGGTGAGTGACACGTGTGCTCCCGACAAACAAACAAACAATACCAGCACCCAGGTCAGCACACAGAGTGCATAAATGCATGCCATGCATGCTGGTCTCCTGAGCAGAGGCAGGCTGCAAATTTGGATCTGAGCATTGTGACAACCCACGTGATTCATGGAGGTGGTGAAAGGTAGATAGGGGTCACTCGGGAGATGCCCAGCCCTTGCTTTTACTGACACCCGGGTACACACCCCACCCCGTGGATCTCAAAGTGAAGGAAGACCCCGTGCCAAATGCTCCGCATTGCACTCAACACTGAAAACTGCCAGGGATGCACAGTGCTGCTTCGAGAATGGTTCTTAACAAAGGTGGTCTTGCCAGTGGGTCGGCTCTATCTTAACCCTGCAGGATTTCCGTTTAGCTTTTGGACACTTCAACTTAAGATTCTCATAGCACTTTTGTTTATTAAAATATACCACTCCTGTGCCGCCTCCTAAAAGTAATGGTTGCCTTTTTTTTTAAAGTCAGCTAAATGATTGATCAGATCCTATTATATCCCACTTTATCTCCAGTGCTGAAAATGTAAGGCTAGGCTTTTAAATATGTATATTGTAATTTCTTGATGTCATATCTAAAGCATTTATTAATGAAATGTCAATAGCAGTGGTGGTATATTAATACAAATCTTCTAATGGCATATTTATTAAACAGAACAGACGCATCTCAACCTTTCTCCCTTGATGCCTTTATGCTGTTTTTAAAACCCTTCATGCCCCGTTTTCAGAGAACCAGAGGTGCTCATGTTTAAAGCTGCCTGAAGCTTATGTAGCCATGGATTCTTTTCCATTCCAGCCACGGACTCTTTCCCCCTTCTAACCACTTCTGGTCACAAGATGTGGCAAAATCAGATTGAACAGGCTCTTCACACTCCAAATATTTCCCCCACCATGCCTCCAGGAGAGCAGCTTTGGAGGGGAAAGAAGGGGAGAGAAGGCTCTAAGTAAGTAAGTGAAGTTGCTCAGTCGTGTCCGACTCTTTGCGACCCCATGGACTGGAGCCTACCAGGCTCCTCCGTCCATGGGATTCTCCAGGCAAGAGTACTGGAGTGGGTTGCCATTTCCTTCTCCAGGGGATCTTCCTGACCCAGGGATCGAACCCGGTCTCCAGCATTGCAGGCAGATGCTTTACCGTCTGAGCCACCAGGGCTATAAGTGGATAGAAATGAAGCACCTGGTCTATGTCAGGCACTTAGCACATTACCTTCTGGAACTGGACATCAGTGACATGCACTGACTTCCCACCTAACCAGGAGGGCAAGTGAGACTCAAGAGAAGCCAACTAGCATGTCTGTTACACAGCTAGTGTCAGAGAAAAATTCTGTGTCAAATCTGACGTCCCTAACCCAAATTCTGTCCATGGTAATATACACCTCCAAGGATAAACCTGAACACATAGGCGGCGAGGGCTTCCATTCCAGGATGGACACACATTCCTCCAGCCTGTCTCTTCCACTGGATGAAGCTGCAGAAGCTCAGTAGGGTTCATGGGGAAGCTATGCCCGGAGAAGCAAATGGAAGACTCTGAAAATAGCAGCAGCAGGCAAACTGGGGAAAAAGAGCCCAATTTAGAGTCTCTGAAACCTTGGTGAGTATATCAGCCTTTTCTCTTCCTCTAACCCACAGCCTGAACTCAAGACAGCTCAAAACACAAAGTGGTCATTCATGCAGACAAAACTCCAAAAGAAACCCTCTAGCCCTGGCTTGAGGGGCGGGAAGAGGGACACTCAGAGGGAGCAGGAAATTCATCTCTTTTGAAAAATATCTCAGTGCTCTTGAGCCCCAGTGCCTAGGTGATCAGTGAACAGTGGTGGCAGTGCAGTGTTAGCGAAGGATCCAGGGCTCTTCAAGCCACTCCTACTCAGAGGGAGAGGAGGCTTCCTCTCTAACAGGTCCCAGGAGGGTGTGGAGAACTCCCATTGCTCTTTGCCTCCCCTGTCTCCCCACCACTTGGTTTGTGGATGAGGATGCTCTTGTGGGAAAGAGGAGGGAGACAAAGCCCTAGCTTTCTGGTGGGAGCACTCAAATAGCAAGCCTCAGGAAAGTGGGATGAAGCAGGTACATTAAGGAGAGAGAGGAGTTTGGCAAAATCAACCCAAGTTGTCTATAAAGTCCTGGAATCACTCCCACACTGACCGTGGATGTTTCTGACCCCAAATAACACACCGAAAACTCTGAAACCTGAATTGAGAAGCCCCACTCGGGTCCCAGACAGCCCACTGATAGGATACATGCAAGATAAATTCAAAGAGCATTGCAAAGGCTTTGACAAGGGGACTGAAATTGAAACCACAACCTCCCCTACAAAAGTCTGGGGAGAATTTTCAGCTTCATCCAACAGAGTCAGTTTCCTGGTAAACCGAAAGGGTCAACATTCCCCATGGCATTTAAACAACATCCAGTGACTCCTAACCTAATATTCAAAATATCAAGCATACAATCCAACATTACCTGACAAGTAAAGAACCAGGAAAAGATCAACTTGCATGGGAAAAGATCAATTCAATTCAGTTCAGTTGCTCAGTTGTCTCCGACTCTTTGCGACCCCATGAATCACAGCACACCAGGCCTCCCTGTTCATCACCAACTCCCAGAGTCTACCCAAACTCATGTCCATTGAGGCAGTGATGCCATCCAGCCATCTCATCCTCTGTTGTCCCCTTCTCCTCCTGCCCCCAATCCCTCCCAGCATCAGGGTCTTTTCCAATGGGTCGGTTCCTCATATCAGGTGGCCAGAGTATTGGAGTTTCAGCTTCAACATCAGTCCTTCCAATGAACACCAGGACTGATCTCCTTTAGGATGGATTGGTTGGAGCTCCTTGCAGTCCAAGGGACTCTCAAGAGTCTTCTCCAACACCATAGTTCAAAAGCATCAATTTTTCAGTGCTCAGCTTTCTTCACAGTCCAACTCTCACATCCATACATGACCACTGGAAAAACCATAGCCTTGAC